AGCATTTCCTCAGTCTCCCCTCCCCCAGTGATCAGACTGCTGCAGGCAGGAGGAAGCATTTCCTCAGTCTCCCCTCCCCCAGTGATCAGACTGCTGCAGGCAGGAGGAAGCATTTCCTCAGTCTCCCCTCCCCCAGTGATCAGCCTGCTGCAGGCAGGAGGAAGCATTTCCTCAGTCTCCCCTCCCCCAGTGATCAGACTGCAAAATTGGAAGTCACAAGGTGAGAGGCTGCAGCAAGGGCTGCTCTGCGCCAGACATTTGTGAACACAGCCAAGAACCGCACAGACACCAGGAATTTACATTACTGTTTAATCTCTGAGCTGGTGTCTCAGTCCCAGAAGTAGATGTCGCCAGTTTGGCCAATGAGCAGGTGGGTGACACAGGATGCTCCAAATTGAACTTACATTTAATTTTGATAGGAACAAAAAGAGGACCTGTCACCCACATTGTGATTAGAATACACCGCTCTGCTGGTTTGTAGGAATTTGTCAGGAAAGTCGTTTTTATTCTCCAGCCACCAACCTTTCGGACTAAGGTGAGATAACGGATTTCATTTCTCAGACGCATCCACATCACGAAGGCGACTCTGAACTACCTGAACGGAGATTACGAGGTGGAGCCGGGCACTGGAGGCGAACGAAACGCGTATCTGAAGAAGCACAACATCGAAACGTTCCTGATTGTACAGTGCACCCCGAAGCGGGTAAGAATCATTTACATATTCTATCGGAGGGGTCTGTCCACCTGAAACTGATTTGTTGTTATAGGACATTTAGTGGATAATCACAGGACACCTAAAGCTAAGATTGCGGAACCGTCTCAGACCGCACGCTTGTGTGTCCCGGAAAATAAAAAAAAACAGAGACCAAAAACTAACCAATAAAATCCATACAGAGAAGACAAACTTCCTGCCTAGAGGTTCCGTTCTTCCCCCGGAATTGCTGTATCATCCCAGCCGCTACCACTGCCACCTGTCAGTCATCTGGGAACCCCAGCTTCTAATACAGGGGAGGGATTCCCAGACACGCCTACTGCAGGCTCCTCCCCATATCTCACATACAGAAAGTCAGATGCAAAAAGATTATCAGAGTTAAAGTGACACAAAACTTCACCCGAGTCCCTGAACTCTGAGCAACAATGTCTCTTATTTGTGTATCACTCGGCTGTAGATCCTCCAATCATCCAAGGGGAGGACGCAGGTCAGATAGAAGACTGAAGGGGAGGACGGAGGTCAGATAGGAGACTGAAGGGAAGGACGGAGGTCAGACAGAAGACTGAAGGGAAGGACGGAGGTCAGACAGAAGACTGAAGGGAAGGACGGAGGTCAGACAGAAGACTGAAGGGAAGGACGGAGGTCAGACAGAAGACTGAAGGGAAGGACGGAGGTCAGACAGAAGACTGAAGGGAAGGACGGAGGTCAGACAGAAGACTGAAGGGAAGGACGGAGGTCAGACAGAAGACTGAAGGGAAGGACGGAGGTCAGACAGAAGACTGAAGGGAAGGACGGAGGTCAGACAGAAGACTGAAGGGAAGGACGGAGGTCAGACAGAAGACTGAAGGGAAGGACGGAGGTCAGACAGAAGACTGAAGGGAAGGACGGAGGTCAGACAGAAGACTGAAGGGAAGGACGGAGGTCAGACAGAAGACTGAAGGGAAGGACGGAGGTCAGACAGAAGACTGAAGGGAAGGACGGAGGTCAGACAGAAGACTGAAGGGAAGGACGGAGGTCAGACAGAAGACTGAAGGGAAGGACGGAGGTCAGACAGAAGACTGAAGGGAAGGACGGAGGTCAGACAGAAGACTGAAGGGAAGGACGGAGGTCAGACAGAAGACTGAAGGGAAGGACGGAGGTCAGACAGAAGACTGAAGGGAAGGACGGAGGTCAGACAGAAGACTGAAGGGAAGGACGGAGGTCAGACAGAAGACTGAAGGGAAGGACGGAGGTCAGACAGAAGACTGAAGGGAAGGACGGAGGTCAGACAGAAGACTGAAGGGAAGGACGGAGGTCAGACAGAAGACTGAAGGGAAGGACGGAGGTCAGACAGAAGACTGAAGGGAAGGACGGAGGTCAGACAGAAGACTGAAGGGAAGGACGGAGGTCAGACAGAAGACTGAAGGGAAGGACGGAGGTCAGACAGAAGACTGAAGGGAAGGACGGAGGTCAGACAGAAGACTGAAGGGAAGGACGGAGGTCAGACAGAAGACTGAAGGGAAGGACGGAGGTCAGACAGAAGACTGAAGGGAAGGACGGAGGTCAGACAGAAGACTGAAGGGAAGGACGGAGGTCAGACAGAAGACTGAAGGGAAGGACGGAGGTCAGACAGAAGACTGAAGGGAAGGACGGAGGTCAGACAGAAGACTGAAGGGAAGGACGGAGGTCAGACAGAAGACTGAAGGGAAGGACGGAGGTCAGACAGAAGACTGAAGGGAAGGACGGAGGTCAGACAGAAGACTGAAGGGAAGGACGGAGGTCAGACAGAAGACTGAAGGGAAGGACGGAGGTCAGACAGAAGACTGAAGGGAAGGACGGAGGTCAGACAGAAGACTGAAGGGAAGGACGGAGGTCAGACAGAAGACTGAAGGGAAGGACGGAGGTCAGACAGAAGACTGAAGGGAAGGACGGAGGTCAGACAGAAGACTGAAGGGAAGGACGGAGGTCAGACAGAAGACTGAAGGGAAGGACGGAGGTCAGACAGAAGACTGAAGGGAAGGACGGAGGTCAGACAGAAGACTGAAGGGAAGGACGGAGGTCAGACAGAAGACTGAAGGGAAGGACGGAGGTCAGACAGAAGACTGAAGGGAAGGACGGAGGTCAGACAGAAGACTGAAGGGAAGGACGGAGGTCAGACAGAAGACTGAAGGGAAGGACGGAGGTCAGACAGAAGACTGAAGGGAAGGACGGAGGTCAGACAGAAGACTGAAGGGAAGGACGGAGGTCAGACAGAAGACTGAAGGGAAGGACGGAGGTCAGACAGAAGACTGAAGGGAAGGACGGAGGTCAGACAGAAGACTGAAGGGAAGGACGGAGGTCAGACAGAAGACTGAAGGGAAGGACGGAGGTCAGACAGAAGACTGAAGGGAAGGACGGAGGTCAGACAGAAGACTGAAGGGAAGGACGGAGGTCAGACAGAAGACTGAAGGGAAGGACGGAGGTCAGACAGAAGACTGAAGGGAAGGACGGAGGTCAGACAGAAGACTGAAGGGAAGGACGGAGGTCAGACAGAAGACTGAAGGGAAGGACGGAGGTCAGACAGAAGACTGAAGGGAAGGACGGAGGTCAGACAGAAGACTGAAGGGAAGGACGGAGGTCAGACAGAAGACTGAAGGGAAGGACGGAGGTCAGACAGAAGACTGAAGGGAAGGACGGAGGTCAGACAGAAGACTGAAGGGAAGGACGGAGGTCAGACAGAAGACTGAAGGGAAGGACGGAGGTCAGACAGAAGACTGAAGGGAAGGACGGAGGTCAGACAGAAGACTGAAGGGAAGGACGGAGGTCAGACAGAAGACTGAAGGGAAGGACGGAGGTCAGATGGAAGACTGAAGGGAAGGACAGAGGTCAGCTTCAATCCCTCATTAGCTCCCATACAGTTGTCAGATGACTTTCCTGCTCTCAGATCTCCATTGCTTGCTCGGAGGTTCGGAGGTCGGTTGGGGGGCCTTAGGCAGTTCTACATTCAAAATGAGAACTTCCCTTTTATAGTTGCTTGTGCTATCTGTGCCCTGTCCTCACCTCTCCTCCGCCCGTCCTCGGATTACCTCTCTCAGCTGATGATAAGCAGACTCCATGTCCTGCACTCCACATTAATAATCCGTATGTCAGGCTCAGCACTTTGGATCCAGAGCATCACAAGCACGTCGCCAAGTAATTAACTAGTCCGTCCTGAATTCTGAATGTAAATAAACAAACTCAAATTCATTCTTTATTTTACAAAATATTTTCATAGTGAAGACTGAAAAGGTCCGTCCTCCGAGATGCTAAAATAATGTACTCTGAGGGACTGCTGGAGGCCGCCATGAGTGCAGCAACTATAGGAATAAATGGAGCCACAGCAATGATGCGCAGTATGCAGAGGGAGATAGAGGGATACAAAGTAACATTGTTTATAAACATTGATCAGAGGGAGATAGAGAGATACAAAGTAACATTGTTTATAAACATTGATCAGAGGGAGATAGAGAGATACAAAGTAACATTGTTTATAAACATTGATCAGAGGAGAGATAGAGAGATACAAAGTAATAGACATGTGCATTCGGTTTCGGACGAACCTAAAATAACGAATTTATTATATGCCCAAATATACGAAAACTATATTCAGGCATACATCAATTCGTCTACAGAACGTGCGGCAGCCATATTGGCCACCAGTGCGTTTTGCACATGCGCGCCGCCATTTTGGAGTATATTTTGGTATACACCAAGATGTCGGCACTCAAACATACGGGCACCGCCATCGTGGTGTATACCAAGATACACTCCATAATGATGGCCTCCGCTCGTTCTACAGTTTATTGTGCAGTTTCGGATTTGGAGGCTCTTTGCCTCCGAATACAAAACAGCATTAAAATTAATTTTCTTTGACGAAACAAATGAAAATGTTTTTAGTTTTTTATTGTTTCGTCCAAAACCAAAACATTTTTGCCATACAAACGTCTAAAAAGTAACATTGTTAGTTTTGTATTTACTTTGTATCATTCATGTTCAGATCAAAGGTTTGAGCTTCAGTCTACATATGATGTCAGTTGAAGCAACCTCTTGCTGTTTTGTTAAATTAAAATATGTTCCTATTTTACCCTTCACTTTCCCTAATTAGCATATTCTTCGTCTTCTTACCTAAGCCATTTATTTTCCTGCTGATTTTTTTTTTTAATTTCTATTATATTTTTTTAATAATATTTAAACTTTATTTTGATAAGCCCTGACCCCAGAGTTCTCCTTTAAAGGAATATTGATCATAGTAGAAGAAAAAAAAACCCATTTTATTTTTGTTACTTTTTTCTCTATAAATTGCACAAAAACAAAACTATTTTCGCTGAACAATACCACCAAAAGAAAGTCAGATTGGCTTAAAAGAGGATTTTTTTTACATTGATGTTGTTGTTCCGGCACAAATAGAGCGCAAACAGGAGCCATAACGATATCAATGTTATGCACACGAGCACACAAAACAATAGGGATAACACCCCTGGCCACAAGAGCTTACGATCTAATTGGAGGAGGGACGGTCGCGAGAGGTAAAGGAGAATTGGCAGCGATACGACATTAATAATTTGAAGGCACTTTCCTCCGAGCACTTTCCATATGTATTGACAGTTAACAGTTGACAGTTGGCGGCGGTGTGTTTGTTTTGCATTCAGCGAAGTGACAGGAAATGTCGCGGAACGCGGGGGAGAGCGGGGGAGGGGGGGATGCTGCGGGTCACATTTGTACGAAATTCTGAAGCGATGCGGCTGATTAAAAACCTGCTAAATGCCAGATGGAGCGTCCTATCGCATGCGAGCGACACAAAATACGCCGAAGAATAAAACCTATTCTGTGTAAATGTATCACTTCCTGTGAAATAGCCGCATATATGGCGCACTTCCGCCTTCACCGGGAAGGAAGATTCCCTTCCGTGTAACTATTGCCACTGCTTGCATTAGGACTGAGGGCTCTGGAGAAGAGTACTGAGGCAGGGTGCTGGGATGCTTTCAGGAAGCTATGTACAGCACTCTTTAGGCTCCTCCCACCAGCCATGATCTGCCTGCACTGCATACAGAAGCACAGAAAGCCGGTGATGACATCACCAGGACTAGAATAAAGCCAGTTGGACCATTGTAGGGTGGTAGGTCTGCCTCTGCTGTAGAGTTTTCATTGCTGTGTCTCCACTCTGATTCACCTTTCATTTGTGTCGCTGACTGTGGTCATTGGGGCACAAAGTGTCGGGAAATCCAAAATGTGAGAGTTGTCACTGGAACAGGAGGTGAGGGGACATCATCCAATGGGGACGCCTGTTCCAGAGGAAACAGACTAATAGGAGAATTCCTTTTAAGAGTTTTCCTTTACAGGTTTAACTTCCTGTCGTGTCTCCAGCACAGGAAGTGAAAGGAAATCTACCTGATTATTCACAGACAGCTAATAAGAACATGATATACACTATATTGCCAAAAGTATTGGGCCCCTCCCCCTCCAAATCATGTGATTCAGGTCCTCCAATCACCTACATGGCCCCCGGTGTATAGGATGAGGCACCTCGGCATGCAGACGCTTCTACAAACATTGGTGATAGAACGGGGCGCTTTCAGGAGCTCAGTGACTACAAGCGTGGTACCGTGATAGGTTGTCACCTGGGCAATAAGTCCATCTGTGACATTTCCAAAACCTTGTGGAAGCCTTCCCAGAAGAGGTGGAGCTGCTATAGCGGCAAAGAGGCGGAGCCAACACAATACTGAACCCTACGGACTAAGACTGGGATGCCATTAAAGTTCATGCGCGTGTAAAGGCGTTCCGATACTTTTGGCAATATAGTGTATGTCCCCTACTGCCTACTCCATCTAAAAATAACAAAGAGGAAGAATTTGGCTTTGCATTTGCTGAGCACCCAATATAAGGGAACAGATTGTCTTTACAGCAATGCCCCCCCTCCTTGTGTTTGTCCTTTTAGTGAATCAGACTTGTTAGCACTCAGTTCTGTCCTTATATAAACCAGGGAGGAGGATTTGGATTGGTTTTGGCGCCTTCGTCTGGTCCTCTGTTCTGGAATATATGAGCGGAGCCCCCCACTAATCCCTGCATTGGGAAATGGCTGACCCGTGCACGACGCGTGTTTATCCAACCCCTCCACCTGGGGCCCTTCTCTGGGACACAAATCTTTCCCAGTCGGAGCCCCTCCATCCTGCAGATAATCCGCCTCTCTCCTCTCCAATCCAAACACGGCCCTAAATCCCCGAATGATGGAAACTCCTCCGATAATTGTATTTGTTGCCGGTAATGAAGGACAAACATACAATGTAATGTAATAAAGTGGCTACAACGTCTTCCAAGGGGTTTGTTTTCCAAACAAGCAGCCGAGCCATCCAAAACATCGCGCATCACCGAGGAAATCTCCTCCATTCACACCAAACTGGCCAAAAAAAATATCTCTCAATTCACAGAGCTCAGTTTTAATGTTGGGGGACAATATCCTTCTCCTGGCAAAAAAAAAAACCATAAACTGCAAAGCACTTTTACCACCTGACCTCCCGCTACTGTTCCAAGACTGGTCCCTGTAGCCTCTTCACCCCTCCATTTCCATGGTCCGGCGTCCACTGACAACATCCTGCACCTTCACCCCTCAGATCACCCCAATTCCTGCACCTTCACCCCTCAGATCACCCCAATTCCTGCACCTTCACCCCTCAGATCACCCCAATTCCTGCACCTTCACCCCTCAGATCACCCCAATTCCTGCACCTTCACCCCTCAGATCACCCCAATTCCTGCACCTTCACCCCTCAGATCACCCCAATTCCTGCACCTTCACCCCTCAGATCACCCCAATTCCTGCACCTTCACCCCTCAGATCACCCCAATTCCTGCACCTTCACCCCTCAGATCACCCCAATTCCTGCACCTTCACCCCTCAGATCACCCCAATTCCTGCACCTTCACCCCTCAGATCACCCCAATTCCTGCACCTTCACCCCTCAGATCACCCCAATTCCTGCACCTTCACCCCTCAGATCACCCCAATTCCTGCACCTTCACCCCTCAGATCACCCCAATTCCTGCACCTTCACCCCTCAGATCACCCCAATTCCTGCACCTTCACCCCTCAGATCACCCCAATTCCTGCACCTTCACCCCTCAGATTACCCCAATTCCTGCACCTTCACCCCTCCGATCACCCCAATTACTTCACCTTCACTGACAGGCAGGTCATGCTGAGACCTTTAGTTCCTCAGCAGCTGTAGGGTGACACCTTAAAGTTTATGTAATTGTCATTGGTGGCCAGAGGGGGGGGGTGGGTGACATTGCTGCTCTCTGTCCTAGTTAAGGTCGAGCGTCAGTAAATCAATGTCTCTGCGGCTGGCAGTGACCCTCCTGCGGGCGTTGTTCACAATGTCGACCTCTTTCCATTCTTCTTGTGTAGAAGGAAGAAAAGGCTTTGATCGCCAAGATGAACCGGCAGCGGGCCAACTCCATCGGGCACAACCCGGCGCACTGGGGGATGGAGAGGAATTTCTACAACCACCTGGGCGCCAACCAAGTCTCCAAGGAAATGAAGAGAATGGTAAGGGAATGGAACAGACGTCGCTCGTCGCTTAGTTATGTGTTATAGTGACCCACCAAGTTCACTGGGTGCAAAAAGGGGACATTCCAGGCAACCAGCTTACCAGGGAGGTGTATGTGGGCGGGGCATTTATTACAGGTGCAAATGGGAGGGGCCATTCATCACAGTATGTGGGGGAGGTGACTCAAGACAGGATCTTTAGGGAGGTGCCAACCATTGCAGGAGCAGGTGGGAGTGGCCATCTATTCAAGATACACTGATTGGCCGGATTATTATGACCACCTGACGTTTGTAGGCAAATTAGCTATAATTTGGCGCTGAAGTTGCTAGAGGGCCAATTAAATACATATGCATATGGGATGAGCCATATATTACAGGTGCATGTGGGAGGAGCCGATCAATACAAGTGCACATGCAAGGGATCCCAGGTGTGTTTGGGAGGGTTCTTTTGGGAGGGACCATCCATTTCTGCTGCACATAGGAGGGGGGATTCAATACAGGTGTGGTTGGGAGAGACCATCCTTTGCAGGCTCACCTAGGTGAGGCCATCAGTTACAGATGTGTGTTTAGCGGCCCATCCGTTACAGGTGCATATGGGAGGGGTCCTTCATTACAGGTGTGTGAAGGAGGGGCCAGCTAAACAGGTACACATGGCAGGGGCCATTCATTACAGGTGCATTTATTACACGTGCATATGGGAGGGGTCCTTCATTACAGGTGTGTGAAGGAGGGGCCAGCTAAACAGGTACACATGGCAGGGGCCATTCATTACAGGTGCATTTATTACACGTGCATATGGGAGGGGTCCTTCATTACAGGTGTTTGAAGGAGGGGCCATTCCTTACAGGTGCCTGTGGGGGGGGTCATTCATTACAGGTGTGTGAAGGAGGGGCCAGCTAAACAGGTACACATGGCAGGGGCCATTCATTACAGGTGCATTTATTACACGTGCATATGGGAGGGGTCCTTCATTACAGGTGTTTGAAGGAGGGGCCATTCCTTACAGGTGCCTGTGGGGGGGGTCATTCATTACAGGTGTGTGAAGGAGGGGCCAGCTATAACAGGTACACATAGGAGGGGGCCATTCATTACAGGTGCATTTATTACAGGTGCATATGGGAGGGGTCCTTCATTACAGGTGTGTGAAGGTGGGGCCATTCCTTACAGGTGAATGTGGGAGGAGCCATTCATTATAAGTACATGTAGACAAAGAACTCTGACTCCATGCAGCTCACTGATACAGAACCCGAGATTTAAAGGAAAACTATAGATACATAGATAGATACTCAATCACAAACATGCAGATTAGGAATTTTGACTTGATTGGCTCTCTGTAATTAGAAGATCATTATGACAGCCCGGCAATCAGCATTTTTAAAGGGAGAGGCAGATAGTATTCCCAGAAGGAGGCCAGCGATGGAAGCTCACAATATATCTGTAACAATAGAGTTCTTATAATAAGCTGCTGATTTCCCTCCATTAATTGCTCATTAGAATAAAGAAATGTCTTTGTTACTCTCATCAGCACCATGTGACAGGTTTGCTTTGTTTGGATTGGCTGGTCTGGACGTATGCGGTCCGCATGTTGTGCTCCGACTTTCTTTGGTTTCTGTGCCAAGTTCACCTTCTGCGTCACATGATTTATATTCACATATCTGGAACTGCAGACAGACATCACATGACGCCATTTTACTTCTCGTTCTCTGATCCCTCCTATTTGTTTTTTTTTTCCCTTTACAGGGTTTTGAGGACCCCAAAGACAAGTAAGTACCCCGGATCTGGCATTGGCCCCCCCGTGAATAATCGTCCTGCACTGTGACCTCTCCTGTACTCCCAGCTGGTTATTGTCTCTGTGATTTCGGGAGGGCGGCCAGGGGGACGGTGCCAGCTGCTGGTGTATCCGCAGCTCTGCTGCCCTTTTCGGGGTAATCTAAAAAAAAAAAAATCTGACAAGCTGGCAGCCGCCGCTCGACCCCGACACCTCCTCTCCTATTATGGGGATTATCAGAATGAAACCGCTTTACAGACGCAATCTGCCCATTTGTCATTTTTAGATTTATTTTTCAGCCGGAGAAAGGGAGAGGTGGCGACTAATCATGAGAGGAAGGCGATATAAATCCAAGCCGAGGCGACATAAAGCGTCATTTAGACACATCCGGGTGCCATTCAGATCAGTCCTGTTTTCTGATACATACGGTATATATAAAGTAGCAACTCTTAGGCTGGGTTCACACCTAGGCGTATTGGATATGCACGTTTGTCACGCGTTTCGCGTCGCGCGTTTTTACCGCGATTCGCGATAAAAAAAAACCCACGACAAACGGACGTTTCCGAGGGCTACTTGGCTGTATCCCAATGGAAACGCGAGACCAAAACGCCCCAAAGAAGTACATGTACTTCTTTGGGCGTAGGCCGCTTTGTATCGCGTTCGGACGGGCGGAAATACGGCAAGGTGTGAACCAGACCCATTGAATACAATGGGATTTAGATGTTTGAGCGTTTTGTAGAGCGTTCGTCGAGCGTTGAACGCGCTACAAAACGTTCAGGTGTGAACCAGGCCTTAACTTTAAAGGAGAACTATGAGGGAGGGGGGAGGGGGGTGCTTTTCACTCAGCCTCATAATCTGAGCCGACGTGTGACAATGAGACTGTCACAGGTCGGCTCAGTAGATCGGGAAGTGAGCGAACACATACCGGCGCTCGCGCACTTCTCGATCTATCTCTGCAGGGAGCCGTGACTATCAGTCATGGCTCCTTGCAGGGATTCCCCCCTTTCCCCTGTCCGATCCTCCACTGGCTGGCGGAACGGACGGGGGAGGGGGCGGGTACAGCTGGCTCTGCCTCTGGATAGGCAGAGCCGGCTGTCACTCACGCAAGCTGGCTGGATCCAGACAGCATTGTCGGGATCCGCTTCAGCTGCGGTGTCTCAGTAGCTGCAGCTCCCTATATACTGAGCTTAGGGTGACGGGAGGACGCTAGTTTGTGTCCTCCTGTTACCCTAAGGAGAACTATGGGGGAAAAACACTGACCCCTGACCGACTCCTTTAAGTTAAGTAAAATAAACATAAGATAAAACAAAAATAAATATTTGGTAAATAAACAAAGATGGTATTCGTCCGGGTGCCATTCAGATAAGTGTTCTCTGATACATTTATATATAAATCATAAATATTAATTTAAAAAAACAAGGAAAAAACAAAAAAATAAACATAAATCCATCTCGGACACATCCGGGCGCCCTTCAGATTAGTCCTGTCTTCTGATACATATTTATAACAGGGGCATTCCCAGGTGTGTTGTCACCTGGGGCGGGCTGCACCCCCCTTGTGACGCCACTGATAAAGGAGTGAATCTTCATTCACCGACCATACGCCATCATTGCCGCGGTAATGATGGACATTCAGTGGATCAAAAGCCGTTTGATGTTTGAACTCTTTTCTATCTTACCAAATAAAATATTTGTCTGGAGCTTTAAACTTTGAATGGGAAGTTGATTTCCTGTTGTATTAACCTCTGCAGTGCTGGTGTCCCT